CGTTTGACAAATTTCTACGAGATTACGCTAAGCTCGAGATATATTCGTTTCGAACGAGATACATATACGTTTGTACGTTAATCTAAACTCGAAAAGTTTAAGTAAACAGGAAAGATACGAATTCTGTTTCGATCGATCTTTTCTTTGAAGTGGAAAAGTAGTTTTATTTGCGGTAAAGTAGTTTAATAATAGAAAAGATAAATGGAGAAAGAAACGTTTATTCGAGCGTTCGGATCGACAGATGCAGATGTTTCCACTTTTTTCCCCTTTCTAGCCGAGTTCTTATCGGATTCCTAAGGGATTAGCTGTCGCCGAGATGAGATCACATCATGCCGGAAGAACGTGTAATGCTCGTAATCCTAACCCGTTAACTTTCCACTCTCTTCGTCAATTTCCATCATACCGTTTTTTCAACGTAAAATGAGGCGATAATCGGGATGATTGAGCTCCCACTTTAATCCTACTTGTTTAAAAATACAAATTATCTATTTTTAACCGATCACTCTTTGACTTCCTTTAATATCCAATATTAACGACATACGTATGCAAATTTAATTTATTCCGTTCGACGGGGAAAAAAATTTCCCTCTCAAAAGTCTTCGTCTTTTTATCCGTGGCAAATTTCTACGGTGTTATTAAGGGATTCAAAGTAGGCTTGAAACTAAGATCGATAAGTCCCTCCGCGACAGCATTTCATTTCTTCCACTTCCTAATAATCCTTCTTAATGCCTCACTAATCGAAGTAAATGTCACGAATCGACTAATAGATACTTGCTCCCAGCTATAATCTATTGCACGATTGTATATAATAATATTTCGTCCCTTATTACGCACAGAATTGTCAAGTCTGTCAAAAATAAAAAACAAAATTGATTAATGACAAAGATATATTATCAGCTCGAAAGAAATAAATTGTCTCGAGGTGATAAAAAAATAAGAATATATTAGGTTATTCGGAAAATAATTTCTCACAATGTCACCAGTCGAACGTTTATCCAGCCAACTTCGTTCTAAACCGTAGTGTTCGGAAAATAATTTCGTTTCTTCACACGAGTGTCGCTAGTCGAACGTTTATTCAGCCAACTTCGTTCGGAAAATAATTTCGTTTCTTCATACGAGTGTCGCTAGTCGAACATTTATCTAGCCAACTTCATTCTAAACCGTGGTGTGCGGAAAGTAATTTCGTTTCTTTACACGAGTGTCGCTAGTCGAACATTTATTCAGCCAACTTCGTTTTAAACCGTGGTGTTCGGAAAGTAATTTCGTTTCTTTATACGAGTGTCACTAGTTGAACGTTTATTCAGCCAACTTCGTTCGGAAAATAATTTCGTTTTTTCACATGAGTGTCGCTAGTCAAACATTTATTCAGCTAACTTCGTTCTAAACTATATCGTATATTTTGTGAGTTGGTATTTCATGGTTTATTTATTAAGAAAAACTCGTTCGATTCTGTGCGGTAGCGTTTTTCTCACGCAATAAAAATTAAAAAAAGATACGAGAAAGGAGCATTTTCGGCATATTTTACTTTTTTATTACCGAAAAGAGTGAGAATGCCATTCAGGCACGAAAAAAGTTGTGCGAAGTCTACGGAGAAGATGTATTACCGGTACGCCAGTGTCAAAAACTGGTTTTCAAAATTTCGTTCCGACAATTTCGACGTTAATGATGCGCCATGTTCTGGAAGACCAGTCAAAGACAAAATAAAGGCGTCGATCGAAACGAACCGACGAACAACAACTCGAGAAATTCTGACGAGAATAAATTTGTCGACTTCGATTATTCATGATCGCGTGAAACGATTTGGTGTTTCATTGTCAGGAAAAAAAGAAAAAAGAAATTACTTTCCAAACAACCTATATTTCATGGGAGAGAGAAGAGCGAAGTGAGGGAGCAGCTGCGACTTTTCTACCCTCGAAAAGATGGAAGCAGAGTTGGAAAAAAGATGGTAGGCAGGGGTTCCGGTGCTCGGATACGGAACAGGCAGCGGAAAATTTATCGAGCTCTCGGTGTGACGGGAGTCAAGCTGTGTGCAGCAACACGCGACTGCGCCACCGACGGCCATCGCTTTATGAAAACGATGATTTCTGGACAAAGATTTCCCGGAGGGGCCGTGCACCATAATTCGCTTCTAATTCAAATCGACCGCCATTTCGCTAAAAACTAAAATAAACCTTTCTCTCATCCTCCTCGATTATAAACCTTTTAAACAAACCTTGTCAAATTCGTGATTACGGTTCATTTTTATTTAAACGATGGAACGAAAACAAAACAAAACAAAACAAAATTTCCTTTTCCTCGTTTTTCAAAATTACGCTTTTGTATTCTTAAAGAAAAAAAAAAATACCAATTCTTTTCCAGTTTTTGAAGACGATAATAATTTTTCTTTTCCAGGAAACATACGTACGTTCATCACGGAAATTATCTTATCCCTTAAATCCATCCAAACCCAACATAAATCAGGACCATGACCTAGACAGCGTACGAGCTGTCGCTACGGATCGTCTAGTATGCGCGGGATGAACGATGGAGAGAGAAAAATGAAAAGAAGAAAAAAAGGAGAAGAGAAAGGCTCCTAAAAATAATATCGTAAAACCACGAACCACTATGATGGCTTGTCTACGCGCGTACATACATACATACATACATATATATATATACATACACACGCGGGCTTATACGTACGCTTGTACATATATTATGAACACGTTATAGGACATGGAAGTCTATTTCGAACCGAAAGACATTCTGTATCCAGCCGTTCTCGCAACACGCAGCCTTTGATACAGCCACGATACATACGATATATACACGGGAGAGAACTGCATCCCCTTCGATGCCTGCCAGGGATTCTCAACCGTGTAAACAAGCGTGGGGTGTAAGCGGATCTCCTCCCCTTCGTGTAAAAACACGTGAGTTCGCATCACATTCGAATATTCGATTTTCCATCGAGTTGCACGTCATCCATCCGCGCATTGAAAACAAGATATTTATAATTTATCATCGCTTTTTCTTCGAAAATTATACTCGAGAGTTGTATATAATAAAACTTGCCTTCTGATTTCACAGTCGAAATTCAAAGATACTACTGCGATTAATGACAATGATCTAGAGCAAGAGGAGAAGGATCGAATTCGTTCATATACACGGATATAACGTACGGATTGAGAACCACTGTAAATCGGCGTGCACATCTGGCTACCCTGGAAACGTGGGAGTTGAGAGTAAAGTATAAACTATGGGGTGGCACCCCATCTCGTAGCGGCCTACCCACCACCTCCTCCTCCCGACCGCCATAGACGTAGGTAATATCATCGTCCACGCGAATTGCCAGCCCCGCATACGCGACTCGTCGTTTACAGTGCACGAAATAGGGTGACAAAGGTACAACTACGTGCCACGGCAGAATACCAATACAAACGTACAAAACGGAGATACTAACTGTTGCGTGGTAGTGGTAGTTTAGCCACCACACGTTTCGACGAAACAGAGAACGAGCGAAATGCGCATTTGTGCGAGACAAGGAGAGGAGAGGGAAGAGAGAGGGGGGAGGGAGGCTCGTGCGAGAGAGGCTATAAATTTAAAGGGGACACGTAGTACGCAGGGTCGCGTAGTACCCCACGGAAGCCAGTTTCCATGGTGGTCCAGATCTCTCGTGGCGGCCGAAGACGCGCAAAGGGTTGCTAAAAGCCATTCACGGGACTAAT